AGCCAAATTTGGTGCCAATCAGCATAAATTAGCTGACTTTAAAAGGCTTCAGTAATTTACAACAACTAAAGACTGGATCTACATTACACTGTCTGGGCCGCCCTGCCTGGCACTTCTGCGTAATTGTTCTTTAAGAATTCTAATCAGCAGATATGTCTGAGCACAGCAGAGAAAATCCCCTTGTCCAATTTGAGAACAGGGCAGTCCTGTATTCTTTGGAAAGAGTAAAAACCAAGTAGGAACACTTTCATACTCCATACACTTTATGGGAAGTAGAGCAAAAAAAGTTTAGAGCTTTTGAGCCATCAAGATACGAGTAATGGAACTCTAATTTATGCCTATGTCAAAGCATAGACTTCAGGACACTAAATAAGTGTCAGGACACTAAGCAAGGAAGTTAATGGAATACAAGGAACATAATTACTCGTTGCTGGCTACGGAAGGTGAAATGTGGCTTTTTGGGGGGGGGTTCCTTTATAGCATGCCTGCCAACATGTGGATGACCAAACTGGTCCGAGACAGCTAACAAAGAACATCATTACTAGAGCCTTGCCCCTGCTCTTTGTGACCCCACTGTCTCATTGGTACAGCTCTACTGATTTGCCTCATGTTACTTCCGATTGATAAAATGGAGAGTCCTAAAGAGCTCATTTCCAGGAACACTTCCCAGAGCAGTCTAGGGAAAGGATATTGAACTAAATATCACAACTTGTTTCACAGCTAGCAAAAATTTCATCAGAAAAAAAGGACGATAAAGCCAGTGGGAAGCAGGAATTGACTGATAATATGATAGATGCCCCAAGACAATCACAGCCTTTAAAGGAACAGCATAAATCAAGAGGAATATGTTTTAAGTGTCCTTTTTTGGGAAGTGATGCTGGTGGTACTTCTCTCATGTGGCTTCCTGATGCTACAGTGTTCTTCTACCTAGTATGCCTCTTCCTCCAGTGGAAAGTGGTGTTGAAGATGTTTTTATCACTAAAAATAGACCGGGGTTATATTCTAACTGTCTTGACTATTAGAGCTGAACTTCAGATCCAGCTTTTCTTGGGGCACAGAGGCCCAGTTGAAATCCTCATCCCTGGCCTTCACACCCCTCGTGGGTGAGCTGAGTTTCCCAAGCTCTCCACAGCTCTGCGGCTCTCTCCATTCATCTCTTCAGTCCTACCACAGTGTTTACCAGTACTCTGTGGGGCTGAGCTGTGGTACGAATGGCCCCCGCTTCTGGAGCTAAACCCTCCGCTCGTGGAGATGTAGCCACAGCTGGGAGCTCCATGGATATACCACCTGCCAACAGGGCTGGCTATGCTTCTAGAGGTGAATCCTCTGTGGCAGGCACTGACCTCTCCAGGAAGGGATGCTCTACCAGCACCACAGAAAGACCAGTATCTTCTGGACTGTCTGTCAGCAAGGCCAGATCCACATCCCAGGCCAGAGAAGGTGTTACAAGGGGTGGTGACCACTGTAATGGGAAAACACAAACTGAATCATTCAGGGAACAATTCACATGGCGGGGAATATGGTCTTCCTCCTCCCCTTGCAAACAAGAGCTAGCTTTTTTAATATAAGAAAATAAAGAAAAACTTGGGATTACTTACACACATTCATAGGACTCCCAATGCCTTTCCTAAAGGGGAAGAAAAATCATATGGTTATGCATCACTTAACTAGCATTTCTAGTATTTTCCATCCTTCCTGTCTCTGCTGAAAAGTCCCAAAGACTGGACACTGCCCACACATGGTTGTAATGGTGCCCACCTGTTCTCTTCACTCTCCAGCAAAGTCTTATATGTTGCAATCTCCATATCCAGGGCCAGCTTGACATTCAGGAACTCCTGGTAATCCCGCAGCATGCAGGCCAGCTTATCTTTGGCCTTCTGGAGGGCGTTCTGCAGCTCAGTATGTTTCTCCTGGGCATCTTTCAGGGCACAGTCCCTGCGCTGCTCAGTATCATAAACTGACGTTTGCAGAGAGGACACCTGTCCCAGGAGACACAGAAGTCCTTATGTTCTCTCCCTTTCTCTCTTTCCAGATTCACCTTTAGAAGAGCAATTTTTTTCTCCCTTGGAGAGTCACAAATTTGGAAGTATTGATGTCATTTTTAGGAAAGCCAAATGTTTCTAAAATCAAACATCACTTCTGAAATATTACGGGAAGGCTGTGCACATCTGTGTACTGTGAGACTATGCTAAGCTTGTTTCAAGGATACCAATACTTTGTTCTAATTGGAGCTATTAATTAAGATTTTCCATTATTTCCCATTATAAAATGTATAATGAATCAGATCATCTGAAAATTATACCACTTACTATGGGTGCTGAATTACTGGTGAGTCATAACTCTACCTTACCTACTGAATGCTTTGAGCCTGTGTCAGCCTAGACACAGCCTTCTCTTGCTAGAATTCTTGTTGGAGCAATTGTCTGAGTTGCTATAGCTAATTCAATGTAGTTTGGTGCAATTAGTTCTTTGCAATAATCAAAATGATCCAGCCAAAAATAGTCCATCAGAAAATCCTCCTTCCTTGCTCAGCACTGTTAAGGTCTTAGCTAGAGCAGTGGAAGCAGTCTGAGGCAATGATCTACATTAAAGACAAAAGGACTGCCTGAGAAATCTAGAAAATGTGACTTGGGATCTCACATTCAGGAGATCCAGTGAGTAAATATGACCCATCGTACCTGCTTCTTCATATTTTCAAGGTCACGCTGCCATCTCCAGATCACAAAACTTAGCTCTTCAATCTCTTGCTGGTGGGACTTTAGTTCATTGTAATGTCTCCCCTTTGCCTCCTCAAGCTCTTGATACTGATGGTAAGAAAAGAGAGAGCTGTCAATTAATACTGGTAATGTATGTTACATAGGAGCCTTTGTGCTGTCTTTGTGCTATTTTTTTTGACAGTGATAGAGTTACGATAGGCTGCTGGGTGCTACAACTTACCCTATTTCTGTACAATGCAACCAGCTCTGCCTTGCTTTTCTGAGCTATATCCTCATACCAGCACTCAATGCTCCTGAGGATGCCCTCCGTATCCAGGCTTCGACTGTTGTCCATTTTCACAATGACAGAAGTGTCACGGAGACTTCTCTCCAGCTCAGCAATTTCCTAGAAGCCATGTGAAGTAGCAGTAAGCTGTCAATCTTCCCTCCCTGGATTTCTCATCTCACACCCCAGTGGAAGTAGCAGTACTCCTGAGAGTTTTTTCAGAGCCACAACCCATGAGCTGTGACTAGACTTGCAGCTTGAGGCCCATTGCCTGGGCCAAGAGAGAGCCTGATGGATTGGTTTAATCAGGTGTAAATCAATATAGCCAAGGAGTGGCTGGTAGGAATGGTAACTGTTATGCAAGAACAGAATAGGAGTATCCATACCTGAGCAGACACACAGTTAAGGAACTCCATCTCCTGCTTTAGCGTTTCCAGTTTTGCTTCCAGCTCTGCCTTGGTCACATAGACACAGTTCACATCCTAAAATAAGTCAAAATGATGGCTATGTGGAGACCTAAGGCAGTGTCATTGTGTTTTTTGAGTAAGATGTTTCATTTAGAAAATGTGATTTGGAAGGTCAGATATCCCCTGGACAAAAATAGCTGAGGGGTCCCACCAGCAGATACAATATTGCTGGACTCTTACTTAAAAATATAATGATTTGGGTGTTAGGAATAATAAGCTGTCATTTTAGAATAAAATATAATGCTAAGTGACAGAGGCTCGATACTCTCCGGCAATATTATGTTACACATTTCTTCTGAATACTTATTTGTCTAATGACTTTTAATATTCTCTAGACCTGATTCTTATGGAAGGAACAGATGAGAGAAAACTCCTTGGATCTCTAAATCCAATCCTTCCATTCATCCAAATTCCTTACCTTCTTCAGTAGCATGAACTCATTCTTGGCAGTTGTATGTCTGGTCACTTCCTGCTCATATCTATCAGGGAAGAAAAGAGACTGGTTGGTAGGTCACTCTGCAACTGGAGGCCTTATTTGTTCAGGTTTTTAGGGATCATGGTGCTTTTAGAACGTAGCTTTTTGTTAGAGAGAAAGCTATCGATAAAGGCAAAAATAAAAGTTCAATTACCAAGGCTGCCTGTGCTCACCTCCCTCTGGATGGTGTCTGCCCACTTACTTGCATTTAAACTCTTCAACCAGCTTCTCCATGTCATTCTGCTCAGGCTCCATCTGCCCCCTCTCATGCAGCAGAGAGTCCAGCTGCTTTCACAGGCTACAAATGAAGCTGTCAAAGACAAGCTTGAGGTTCTTCTGGGATGGCATGACCTGCTTTTGGAGGAGGTCCCATTTAGTGACCAGCACTCTGTTCTGCTGCTCCAGGCGCTGTACCTGCAATCAGAAAGCAAAACCACCCTCTTCAGATATGTGCTTAGGTGCATCGTACAGGGACCAGATGAATGGGGAAAGAATTAGGCATCTTCCCTTTTGACTCAATGCTCTAGGGGCTCATTATGAAGGGGACAAGGACAAAAGGGAGGTACTGTGATCTTCATAATCCACGAATCCTAGAACAAACAGGACCTGCTGCTTTCCTCTTCCTCAGGGTGGTCTTAGGCAGCACAGCCTTTGCAGCAGCTACAGAGACCGTGGACTTTTTAAATACATCTGCATATCAGCTGGATGCTCAGATAGTGGAAATCACCATTTGTCAATAGAAGACAATGCAGCTTTACAAGGCCTAGCTGCACCGAGTGAGTGCAACACTGCAGAAGCATAGTAGAAGCTCCCTTCCACTATTAAAAGTAAATACAGATGCAGCTTATCCAAGCACACAAATAACCAGAATAAAATAACCTTATCAGTTAGACCTGCACTGTCAGCTAGGAGAGCTGCCACACAGCTCACAACACTGGAGCCATGCATGCTAAAACCAGCATCAGTCTCATGTAAAGTGATGGCGGAAGGAGAGGAATCAAAGACCTGAGCACAAAAGGAAGGTTTCCTTCCTACTCAAACCTGATCATTTCTTTGTGTCTCCTCTCAGATCTCACCTTGTCAATGAAACAGGCAAACTGGTTATTGAGGCTGTTCATCTGCTCTCTCTCCTGCATTTGGATGTGCTGGATTTCAGGATCAATCTTCACATAAAGAGGCTGCAGCAGGTTCTCACTGATGTGCACCCTGTGAAGACCTTCACTTTTGCAGCTCCTGCCATGGAGACATACCATGCTCCCCTGACTCCCACCTTCATTGCTGAAATGGACATCCCTGCATCCCCATCCTCCATATACTCCCTGTGGGAGTCTTCTGCCAGAGGAAATCTGTTTACATCCATCCACATTTTGGAGGCTTCGGCCACTATAGTTCCAGACTCCATATCCTCTCCTAAATGGTGCAGCTGAGGGGAAAACACTGGTTCTGCAGCGGCTCATGTTGCTCACAGCAGAAGATGATGAGAAGCACTTTTGTCCACAAAGAGACCTTCCAGCTGACAGCTGCTGGCTCATATTGCTATACTAGGAGGAGGAGAGGAACAGGAAAACCAGACTGCTGGAAGAGAACAGAGCATGCAACTCAAAAGGGGGACCCTCTGCTTTGACACCCCTGAGCGTCTCCTTTATATACATCTCAGAAGCTGGGCTTGGTTGATGCAGAAGAATAATTTGGGGTTTTCATGGGGTTGCCTTGCCTGGAAGCAATTCATGGATTTCAATATGCAAAACAATGTGTAACACGGAACATTTGTGAAATCCTATGGAATTTTATTCTTTTTAAATCACATTGCTTGCAAACTCAGCTTGGAGGACAGCACGGGCTGGGTTTCATGAGGGTTTTTTTTATTATTATTTTAATTTGTTCTCTTCCCTCCCATTAATTACAGTTTAGGAAATGGCCTTAAGAGTGTCTCCCATTCTGTCAAGGACAGACTGTAGAGGAATGTTCTGGTGAACAGCAAATTAGAAGTGAATTTTGCATTATCTGTTCTCTTCATAGCCACTCTCTTGGGAGTTTCCAAAATTCTGCTTTTCACAGAAGAGCAAAGACAGTACAGATCCACAAAAGCCGCATCAAGAAGCAGCCTGATGCTTGGAAGCTGGGAACCATAGCGTGGACTGGAAATGCAGTTTTCTCTGTTGTGATACAAGAGTGCAAAATACTTTATTTAAAAATAGCCCTCTATACATCATCCTCAGTTAAATACCATGACTGACTGGGCAGGATTCAGTTCTCCTAACTTCAGATGTTAGGTCTGAGCTGATGGACAGGCACATCTCACTTTTATTAGATGTCTCCTTCAGAACGGGAGGATTTGCTCTCCTGAGAGCGTTTCTCTTCTTCATTGACTACGAAGAAAATCTAAAAATGACCAGCTCAGAGTTAGAGGCCCAACTTTTAGAAGCATAAGTTAGTGTAGCTATACCTTCTCATTAAATTTTTGGCCCTGATTGTGTAGGACACACCACGTGAAGAAGACAATAACTATCCTAGAAAAAAAAAACTATCCTAGAAAAAAAAGGAACCTCGGCCACAACGATGTTAACTGGATGCTTGTTAGTCTTTAGCTGGAAACAGCAGTTGGCTTGGCCTTGGTGGGCAGACAATGAATGCACCAGCCACCAGTATAACGCAAAAGTACATGCATTATTACTCCAGCTGCTATATGGCTATTCTGTTTCTATCCTTTATATTTGAGCTTGTAATTAAAACTCTTGGGATGCCTTAAGGCAAATAAAAAAGATTTATTAGGCTTGCTTGGCAGATGGGAAAGAAGAGGCTAAGTTTAATATACTTGCTAAGAACCTCACAATACTTTAGAGGTGGAGCCAAGATTGCAGCTCTGTCCTTGTGGCTCCTTTCCAGACTCCCTTTCAAAACAGAAACGTGAAGGGTTTCGTTTCAGATTTGAAAGAAATGGTTTTCCCCAGCTCTTATGCCATCCTTCTCATTAACTTTTCAGCTGGCTCAAAACTTGGTCAGTGTTCTTGGCAATTAAAACACATAAAGGTTTCAAATTCCCGAGAAAAGGGTAATATCTCACTTGCTCATTTCTTTCATGAGTTTCACAGGGACTTTTTTGCTCCCTGGGATCATTTGGGGGCTGTTTCACTATCTTTCGCAAGAGGCTTGATGAAAAGCAAATCTGCTTACCATAAACCCTGCTAGTGGCTGATGCCAAATGTTTTCTTGTACCTCATTATTTGCAAATATTCTGCCCTGGAACATCTTGCCCATAGCCTAGCAAGAGAGATAATTGATGGTATGAAGCAGCTGGAAAGACAACTAGCTTAATTGCAGGTTCTTGACAGCACTATCAATTACACCTACACACAGAAGAGTAGGAATGATTGAAGCCCTGGGTGTCTAACTTGCCTGCTTAAATACCAGCAGAGCCCATGGCAATCCCAGCTGGAAGAGCAGGATTGGAGGCTAGGAGGAGGGCACTTCACCTGGAGCTGTTCTGAGGCCGTTCTCATTTTGTTTTTCCAGTTTGTCTCTCCTTCATCTCCTACTGAATCCCCCTGCCACTTGAATGGCCCTGGAGATGGGGATTCATGATGTCAATAGTATTCCTGCAGCTTTCGAGCAAGGAGGATCTCACAGGACACTGCCCAGCCCCACTGTCAGCAGTACAAGGAGAGCTTGTGCAGAGTCTCTTTAGGATTATAATACACCAGATCTTCTCCATCTGCTTCCATTCAGTTAAAGAGACTCGGTGTTTTTGTGTTTGAGCAATTACGTTTGTTGTGTCACCCTTTCAGGAGAGGGGAGGTTGTATGTGTATGTGGGCACATGGAGAGTAGAAAGGCGAATAGCTCCCAAGGTAATCACAGCTCATTAGCTTTTTTTCCCCTTAATCACCAGGAATTTTGGAAAGAGGCCCAGGAGTAAAGATAGGAGGCCCATACAATGTGGCTATGACTAATTTCGAATCTTTTTGCCAAAGCAAATGAGGGGGGGAACTTTTTCTTCTGGGTATCTTTGCGCCATAAAGTGTGCTGAAGCCCCACACTCCGCCAGCTCTACACCTCTGCGGTATACCTTTTTTTTTCTCCCACTAGGTGGTGGTATCTAATGCATCTTGAGCATCCCTGTCCTGATGGGTTCTTGGTGGTATCTGTTCACACCTTGTCCAACACTCGGGAACATCTCAGGATATTGCTAGCAAGAGGTGGCTCACACGTGTAGAGGGCAATATTTATTTAGAAGCCAAGACAGTGTGGGAACAATGAGGCCATCAGTCCACCTGCAAGAAGTTGAGGTTTCCTATGAATTTGTGCCCTAAAGCTGACCATGAGCCTGAGATGTTTCATAAAATGCATGTGCACCCTGTAATGCATCTTTTGGCAGAAGGACAACATTGACATATGGACTTCCCAACAGCTTTAATGACAACTGACTTGCTGACATCTTCTTTGTTACCTTCGTTTCCTTCCCTCCTAACTGAAATCTTGCTCTTCATGTCGGTACCCTTGGAGGTTCAAGCCATGCCTTGGCACTGGGTGTCAGTAGACACCTTGTTGCAGTGTTACGTGATGAGCATGTTTATAGTATTGTGCTGACTGATACTACCTGCCTCAAGACACTCATGACAGTAATCTGAAGGTCTCATCTTACGATCTTCTCCTCATGACTTCAGCTCAGCACCCAAACCTCAAAAATCAAAAAGTCTCTGGGAACAGCTTTAGTCTATCTTGTGGTGCCTCTCATTAAAAAAAAAAATGCATGGGCAATATATAAGTGACACATGCAACTTATTGTTGAGACAATGAGAAATCAACAGTGGATATGTCCTTATATACATAGACATTGCATCTCTTTGAGCCACTTTCCAGCCTCTTTCCAGCTCTAATCCATATTGTCCAAAGAAATGAAACTTGGTCTTGCTCCTGACAAAATGAATTGAATACACAAGCTCCTTACAGATATTAACAGCAGCTGGACCACATACTCGCTGAAGGAAAGAAACAGAAGCTATTAAGCATTTTAAAAAATATTGTATTTTTAGATGTCTGGAATCCTGGGCCAGATTTTTCACTCCTACTTAAACGGGGGTAATTTTATGTGGAAGGAGGCACCAGAGCACTCATCCCCAGAAACTGGAGATATCATCATAGCTTAGCTGACGAGCAAAAGAGGTTTTGATATACCCTTCCAAACCATTCAGTTACAAAATTAGCCCCTGCACTTAAGGCTACCAGGGTGTAAACAGTACTTAAGAATGATTTAGTGGAAACGGTGATCAAGCTCCTCTTAGGAGTTCAGGGTTAGCAATCATTTTTCTAAGTTGGTCTCCCAGGCTACTCTTATAGTCAACTGAAATAGATGGTTTGTCTGATCTCTTGAAGGTGATTCATCCCATACTAAAGTACCTGCACAAATCAGGTCTATTGAATTGCCTCCAGAAGTGCCGATCTCTCTCCACTGACTCTACCTTCCTCCCTTCCTTCTTTCCACCATGCAAAACAGATCAGTAAAGAACCCACAGACCTGACCACACTGGTCAGATTAATTCTTTGTTTCTTTTAATTGCACTGATTATAGCTGCAAAGCTCTAGGCATCCTGTCTACATAATTAATTTAATAGCAAAACTAAAGCCCTGCAATATTTAGTAATATGCATTTCAAAAAAAATCAGAATTACCTTCCACGATTCCAGTTTTCTTGGCAGTAGCTGGGGGGAGGGAGGAAGCAGGAGGGAGGGAGTGGGGAAGAGCTTCGTCTTGACTGAGAAGCCTTATCTACTATCTTAGATGAAAATATCATTTTGATGATGTAGCTTATCACTTGGATTCTGAAGAGTTGAATTGTTTCAATGCATTATGTAGTAGCAAGCATTAATAAAGTGAATAAACTGTCTATCTCAGCTCTTGTAGGGTAGATCTGCATGGCATTTTGCAAGCACAGGTAGGCTCACACCACCCACACGCTGAACCTGTGAGATGTGAGACAGTGCAGATGAAAACCCCAGCTTATCTCAGCAGGGTTAGCTATCATCTCTAGATTTCATTAACACAACCCTACAACAGCTAATTGGGTCAGAGCATGTGTAGGACTTTCTACATTTCATGAGAGCGACAATAACTCAGTTTTGCCTGAAATAGAGTGTGTAGAACTCCCCACGTGAAGGGTAGCCCTAGTTTCTTCCAGACCAAAGGTTTCATGTAGCCCTTTGTGGCTCCCTACGAACCTTCTCTAACTGTTTTTGTGGTTCTGTGGTCATGCGCAA